ACGATTTATTAAAGGGTTTANAGTATTGCAACTGACCCAGAGAAAATTCGTGCTGTTAGGGATTGGCCAGTGCCAAGAACAATTTCTGAGGTTCGAAGTTTTTATGGTTTGGCCACCTTCTATAGACGATTTATTAAAGGGTTTAGTTCCATTATGGCTCCCATCACAGAGTGCATGAAAAAAGGAGAGGTTCAATGGACACTTGCTGTAACTAGAGCCTTTCAAGAAATTAAGTATAGGATGACAAAGGCACCTGTTCTTCGACACTTAGATTTTTCTAAGGTGTTTGAGGTTGCCTGTGATGCATCTGGTGNTATAGGATGACAAAGGCACCTATTCTTCGACACTTAGATTTTTCTAAGGTGTTTGAGGTTGCCTGTGATGCATCTGGTGTAGGGATAGGTGGAGTTTTGAGTCAAGAGGGTCATCCTATTGCTTACTTCAGCGAAAAACTCAATGAAGCTAAACAACGATGCTCTACATATGACAAAGAGTTCTACGTTGTGGTACAAACTCTTCGCCATTAGAGGTATTATCTATTACCATCTGAGTTTGTGTTATCTTCTGATCATCAAGCATTAAAATACCTTCATTCCCAGAGAAAATTGAGTGTTAGGCACGTTAGGTGGGTTGAGTTACTTCAGGAGTATACTTTTATTCTTCACCACCGAGCGGGCATTGAAAACAAGCTTGCGGATGCTCTTAGCCGTGTAGTTACTGTTTTACAGACTATGAGTGTCCATGTGATTGGCTTTGACAGGATTAGAGATAAGTATGCCTCTTGTCCTGACTTTGGTATCATTTTTCAGGAGGTTCAGTCTGGTAATCGTCACGAGTACATTGACTTTCTCCTTAGAGATGGTTACTTGTTTAGAGGGTCGCGCTATTGTATTCCTCGCACTTAAATTTGGGATTTCCTGATTTGGGAATTACATGTGGGAAGTTTGGCAGGCCACTTTGGTAGGGATAAGACATTTACACTTGTTGAGGATAAGTTTTATTGGCCCACTTTGAGGCGTGACATTATTAAGATAGTGTCACAGTGTCGCACTTGTCAGTTGGCAAAGGCTAAGAAACAAAACACAGGGTTGTACACACCATTATCAGTTCCACACACACCATAGAGAGACCTTAGTATGGACTTTGTCTTAGGATTGCCTAAATAACCCGTAATCATGATTCCATTCTAATTGTCGTGGATAAGTTTTCTAAGATGGCCCATTTCATTTCTTGCACTAAGTCTACTGATGCCTCACATGTAACAAAGTTATTTTTTAGAGAGGTCGTCCGACTATATGGGTTGCCTATTTCTATTGTGTCTGATAGGAATGTCAAGTTTGTGAGTTATTTTTGGAAGACACTTTGGAAACTCTTTGGAACTAGTCTTAAGTTTTCCTCTACCTTTCATCCCCAAACTAATAGTCAAACTGAGGTAGTCAATCGTAGCTTAGGAGATTTGCTTAGGTGTCTAGTGGGTGAGAAGATGAAAAATTGGGATTTATTGTTGCCTACTGCTGAATTTGCCTATAATAACTCCGTCAACAGGTCGACTGATCTATCCCCTTTTGAGATTGTTTATAACCATTCCCTTAGACAGCCCATTGATTTATTACCTTTACCTCCTGATTCCCGTCCCTCACACTCAGCCAAAACTTTTGCCCAGCATATTCATGACTTGCATGCCGACATAAGACAGAAAATTACATTTAAGTAATGAGAATTATAAATTGGCTGCAGATGTTCATCGTAGAAATAAAGAATTTATTGTGGGAGACTATGTCATGGTTCGTGTGCGTCCTGAACGTTACCCTAAAAATTCTTTCAAAAAGTTACTTCGAGCCACTGGCCCTTTTCGTATTCTTCGTAAGTTTGGACCTAATGCATATCACCTTGACTTACTTTCGAATATGAGTATTAGTCTTATTTTCAATGTGGAGGACTTGTTTCCTTATCATGGTACTTTTGAGCCTCCTATGTTTCCAGCAGGTGTTCCTACAGGTGGACTTGCTTCGTCATCAGCATCAACTATAGTTTCTATTCTTCCACCGTTTCCACCACAGCTGTATGACTAGATCACAGATGTACTTGATGATTAGATTGTAGGCTCCTCGGATGGAGGATATCGTCGTTATCTTATTCGGTGGAGAGATCGNACAGGTGTTCCTACAGGTGGACTTGCTTCGTCATCAGCATCAACTATAGTTCCTATTCTTCCACCGTTTCCACCACAGCTGCATGACTAGATCACAGATGTACTTGATGATTAGATTGTAGGCTCCTCGGATGGAGGATATCGTCGTTATCTTATTCGGTGGAGAGATCGTCTAAAAACTGATGATTCATGGATTACTGAGGAGGAGTTTCATCGGCTTGACCTTGATCTTCTAGAGCATTGTCCTGATCGTATCTCTCCGGAGGCGAGTTCTTTTCAGCCGGGGGGAAATAATAGGAATTGAATTATATTTCGTTATAGTAGGCGTAGGCGTAAGGATTAGGAGTTATTTGTCATTAGNAGAGATCGTCTAAAAACTGATGATTCATGGATTACTGAGGAGGAGTTTCGTCGGCTTGACCTTGATCTTCTAGAGCATTGTCATGATTGTATCTCTCCGGAGGCGAGTTCTTTTCAGCCGGGGGGAAATAATAGGAATTGAATTATATTTCGTTATAGTAGGCGTAGGCGTAAGGATTAGGAGTTATTTGTCATTATACTTTTCAGGGGTTTAATTGTCATTATGACTATTTATTTCTTTTAGAGTTATTTTAGGATTTGTGGTCTCCCTATATATATATATATATATAGGAGATATGTTATTTATTTTGGTAGACTTTGATTATTGATTATTGATATTGAATTTTCTTTCTAAAATTCTCTCTATTCTCATCTCCTTCTTCTTCTTTTCTCATCTCGTTCTTCTTCCCTTCTCATTCCTAATTCTTCCCTAATACGGTCTACATCAACGCGTCTACATTTCTTCCACTAGTTAAATGCCAAACATGAATGTGTGACATGAGCTCAAATTTGCCCCATCATTGGGACGTAAAACGGAAAACAAGTTGAAGACAAATAGTTGAAATTTCTTTTGAATGCGCAAAAAATCTATTTCAAATGGGATGTTGACGAGAAAATAAATCATAAAAACTGAGTTTAGCACCTATTAGCAAAACGTACAATCATTTTAAAAAGCTTAGATAGTTTCCAACCTTCAACTTCTCCCCCCCGCTCTCTCTGCTAAACTCTAGCTTTATATATATTTTTTGTCAATATTCCACTTGTTGGTCCAGAAATGGTTAACAAACCTAATTTAAGCCAGCTTATTGTAGAGATGAAATAAAATGATGCCAGTAATCTTTACAAAAAACATAGATTTTTCAGCGGTGTGAAAGGAATAGCCTTGAATCTTGAGAATGAGAATGTAGGGATTGTTGTCTTTGGTAGTGATACTACTATTAAAGAACGAGATCTCGGAGATAACAACTAGATTGATGCAAAGTTAACTTACCATTACAGGTATCATTTTGGCGCACTTTGCCAGGGTCTGAACAGGAAAACTGACATACTTGAGGGCCTGGACAGAACACACATCAATAAAGTTGATGCAATAATTACTAGTGACTTCTCATCCTCCAAGGTAAACTATAAATTAAACAAAATTCTAACTAATATGGAGGAAGTTAGCCTATTTGAAATTATTACATCAGGAGAAATCAAGATGAAAAAACAGAAATTGGCCACAATTTACCTCATATTGACATGTTGTGGTTAGTATGTTAGATACTGATACAACACAATACTTGTGAACTGGAGCAACAGGGTCCATGGCTTTCTTACTTGCCTAGAAGAGATACAAAAAATGGATTGATTAAAGAGTATGGTTAAATAAGATGCCTTAAGTAACAACAAATATATAATTCATCATTGTGTGTAAAGGCAGTAGCAGGAAAATTCTGCTGATGTGAATTGTGTTATAGGGAAGCAGCGCATGCCCTGTAAGACCTATGAAAAACTGATGAATTAACCACAAAAACAATAGTTACCAGCAAAGTGCCAGCAGAGACAGCACAGGCAGTAATGCGGTTGCAGAAGACAAGAAATAACGAGTACTTAAAAAATTCTTTGTTTGGTCCATAGGGAACTCGCATGATCTTTTCCTGCAACAATAAACTTCAATGAATCCGTTCAATATTAATAACTGAATGATTTGCACTGAGAGAGGCATAAAAAATAGAAAATTTCTACAAATAAATAAAAATTGCAGATTAGGCAATAGCAGGAACATTGCCACAAGGGTGTTGAACTTCCAAAATGAGGATAGTGGCTCCTTTACCATTTAATAAGGACTGTTAATGAGCAAGAAACTACAGCCAAGACAATAATAGTGAAAGGAGGCATCACAGCAGCCTAGTGAACAAAACTTTTAGAAATATAGACAGCAGCCAAGTGAACAAAACTTTTAGCCTGTCACCCTTCCTTCAAAGAATATGTTATAGTCCCCATCGCTTTGACAAACATATAATGCACTCCAAATAGTGCAGTTAAATTTCCCGAACGAACTTAAAGTTGATCACAAGGTTCACACCTATGATGAATTATAAAGAACTTTATATGGAGTCCTCTAAGGGGCTGATACTTGGTTCTGAATCGTAGGTACTTGTAATTTCCCAACCTGATAATCCCTTACAAAAGCCAAACCTTAGTACACCAAAATCCAGTGGACCTTTGTGTCTACGAGTTTCCACAAATAAAAATTAGCCTTTTACGCACAAATAATTTGAAAGTATTGTTCAATGCAAGTACTTGATAGATAAACGCACAGTGCTATTCGCACATTCTTTCAAAAAAACAAAAGCTTGAAAGCACTGATCAAAATTTCTTCAGAGTACGAGTAGAAAGCAATAAGGAATAACCTAATAGGCACCTTACCTTCTCTCTACGGCCACTTTGAAGTATTTAAAAACCCATTCAAATTGAGCCCCAAAAAAATACTACCACCATGTTCTTATGCTAATTTCTCCACAGATGTACCAGCTAAAACATGCAAAAGGCTTCGTAAATTACGCACCAGTGCGCACTTGATTGAAAATTTCAGACTTGAACAGATGAAATCAACAAAACAGAAAACTAATTCTGGCACCGAAACTTCAAGATCTGAGAAGTGTACCTGCAAGATTCCATAGATGACAAGAGTGGACATGATTCCACCCACTGCAAAAGCCCCTTTCAATAGCATGCTTTCTTTCACGGCCGGCGAAAGTGAGGGTGGTTCCGCCATATCCCATCCAATCCACCACCGCCTCTGCTCACCAAATTACACACCACATTTATATTTCATCACAAATTCCATGCCAAAATCAATACCTATATTTCGAAATCCGCAAATTTGTATATCTTTGAGTGCGGCTGTTAGTTTCACTGCGTATAGAGGCCATGCATGATAAAAAAAATCAAGAAAGAGTAGCTCACCAGCGGCGGACAAATATGCCGAAACTTCCCNCAAATCCGCAAATTTGTATATCTTTGAGTGCGGCTGTTAGTTTCACTGCGTATAGAGGCCATGCATGATAAAAAAAAATCAAGAAAGAGTAGCTCACCAGCGGCGGACAAATATGCCGAAACTTCCCGGAGATCGCCGTTGTAGTTGTACGGAGACCATGATACAGTGATCCAAGACTCTGTGTGTGTGTGTGAGAGAGAGAGAGAGAGAGAGAGAGAGACGGGACACGTGCCAGAGAAGCAGAGAAAAGGCTGGTGGCGTTACGGACTATGGAACTCTAGTGACTGAGAGAGAGGAACAAACAATGTCTCGGCTTTTCAACGCTAATCTCGACCGTTGAGAAAAAGATGTATTCTTGTAGTTCGTATAGGACTTGACAGGCGCAAACAAGAACTGGCCAAAAAATATAATGTGATCCTACTATTTAATAAAAATATAATAAAATAAATAAAATTTATATTATTTTTTTTATATGGAATTGTTATCAAATGACATAAAGAAATAATTATTAAAATATCTGAGATTTAATTGCNAGGAGACAGGCGCAAACAAGAACTGGCCAAAAAATATAATGTGATCCTACTATTTAATAAAAATATAATAAAATAAATAAAATTTATATTATTTTTTTTATATGGAATTGTTATCAAATGACATAAAGAAATAATTATTAAAATATCTGAGATTTAATTGCTTACTTATTATCTATATAATAAAATAGTTAAAAATATTTATCTTTAGTTTTTCGCAGTCCAGATCGTTTTAAGACTTTTGATCCGACAGTCTTTATACCAAATTTTCCTAAAATTTTTATCTTTCATCTAACTCTTTTACCATATCTTATACTAACTAATGCAGACTCCTATCTCTTCTTTAATTTTAACTTCCTATCTCATACAATAACTCTTTTTCCCTCTCNATCGTTTTAAGACTTTTGATCCGACAGTCTTTATACTAAATTTTCCTAAAATTTTTATCTTTCGTCTAACTCTTTTACCATATCTCATACTAACTAATGCAGACTCCTATCTCTTCTTTAATTTTAACTTCCTATCTCATACAATAACTCTTTTTCCCTCTCTCCATTTTCTCTATGTTTCTCTCTCTAATACATTCTCCCTCCTCTATTCCATTTTTAAATGATCAGCAATCCATCAAATTAAACAACTCAACAACCCATTTTTACTTATATCCAGCAACCCATCTATTCCATTCTCTCTTTCATACCCGTCTCTTCCGTTTTCTCTGTAACTCTCACCTGGCACAACAACCCATCAAATTAAACGACCTAGCAACTTCCAGCAACCCATCTCTTCCATTCTCTCTTCCATTCTTAAAAATACTAGCAACCCATCTCTTCCATTTTCCCACCAACTCTCACCCGGCACCTATCTCTCTNATCAAATTAAACGACCTAGCAACTTCCAGCAACCCATCTCTTCCATTCTCTCTTCCATTCTTAAAAACACTAGCAACCCATCTCTTCCATTTTCCCACCAACTCTCACCCGGCACCTATCTCTCTCTTCCTTATCTCTCAAGTTATCTCCCTCTCTTCCTTATCTCTCATCTAAATCTCTCTCTCATTTTTAAAACACAACACTACTTCCCCTTATCTCTATGTCTCTACCTTGTGCCTCCAATACACATTGAACAAACCACTGCAAGCAGTCTAGGTATTTCTCTTTGGGTTTTCTCTTTCTTTCTCTCTCTCTCTCTAACTGTGCATGTGTTTTTGTTCATGTATGTGTGTGACTGTGTGTTCATGTGTGTGTGTGTTGTGTTCATATGTGTGTCTGTGTTCATGCGTCGATCAATGTGTTCATGTGTGTGCCTGCATTCTTGTTTTTTAATTTTTCAGAATGTGTTCATGTGTGTAATACAGAGTTTCCTTGGGGCCAATCGATGTTCATATGTGTAGTATAGTGTTTTTCAGAATGTGTTTTTGTTNGTTGTGTTCATGTGTGTGTCTGTGTTCATGCGTCTATCAATGTGTTCATGTGTGTGCCTGCATTCTTGTTTTTTAATTTTTCAGAATGTGTTCATGTGTGTAATACAGAGTTTCCTTGGGGCCAATCGATGTTCATATGTGTAGTATAGTGTTTTTCAGAATGTGTTTTTGTTCGTGGGGCCAATCGGTGCAAGAAGGGTAATGCAAAACCAAAGAGAAAAAAAAAAAAAACCCTTCTTCCTTAAGTTAAATATAATACTCATAAGACCCAGAATGGTGGCTTGTAATTCAAACCCAAGAAATGAGATAAGAAACACATGAAACAATGCATTTAAAAATATATGAAACAATGCATGTGTATGTGCCTGTGTGTTGTGTTCATGTGTGCCTGTGTTTGTGTTCATATGTGTGTGTGTTCATGCGTCTGCCAAAGCGTTCATGTGTGTGTGCGCCATTGTGTGTTTTGGTATTTTATTTTATTTTTTGTGTGTTCATGTGTGTGTTTTGGTTTCGAAATCTCTTCTCTTTAAATTTTTGGTAATTATAAGCACTCCCTTTCTTGTCTTCTTACTTTTTATTGTAATTGAATCTATTTCAATTATGGTGTATGTGATATTTTGACTAATTATTTTTGTCAATTTAATTATTATTTTTTCACATAATTACACATTTTCTTATTCACCAAATAAGTAGTAATGAATTTGTTCTTTTTAATTCATATTAAAAATGTGTTGTGTGATTATCTATATAATAAAATAGCTATATTGTTTATCTGAAGTTTTTCNTAATTTAATTATTATTTTTTCACATAATTACACATTTTCTTATTCACCAGATAAGTTGTAATGAATTTGTTCTTTTTAATTCATATTAAAAATGTGTTGTGTGATTATCTATATAATAAAATAGCTATATTGTTTATCTGAAATTTTTCGTAGCTTAGATCGTTTGAAGATTATTAATCTAACGATCCTAATTGAACTTTCATTTCTTTTATAACTCTAAATCTCTCATATCTCATATAACTCCTTTTCTCTCTCTATCTCATATCTCTTTTAAATACACTATATATATATATATATATATATCTCCCATCTCTTAGATGTTTTAAATACAGTCTCCCAAATACACACTCTCTCATCTCTCATATAATTCTTTCTCTCTTACAGACACTCTCTCTATCTCATTCATTTTACTTTTGTGAGTGAATTTTATGTGTTAAATGTGTATTGTTATTTTCAGTGCTTTTTTATTCAAAATTTGCAGTTTTGACATGATTTTATTATTGTTAAATGTTATGTGTGAAATATACTATTGTTATTTTCGGTACTTTTTAATCATACATTTGTATGATTCTATAGAAGAGAAAATATTTAAATGTTAAAAAAAAATTTTGTAGACATTCAAAATCAAACTTACCACAAAAATCAAAAAATTCAAAACTAAGCTAATCGCCAATAAAAAAATAATAAGTGATACCAATTGCACAAAAAAAAATTCAAAACAAGCTAATTACCAATAAAAAAAAAAGCAATGACTAATAAAAAAAATTAAATGAAACCAATTGCACCAAAAAAAAATATTCAAAATCAGCTATAAATTTTTTTTTTCCAAGTCGTAAACATTCAAGCTCAAGCTAATCACCGATAAAAAAAATAACAAAACCAAATATTTGAGTAATTTTATAGAATGAAAAAAATATTTGAATGCTAAAAAAAAAAAAAATTCAAGTTGTAGACATGCAAAGTGAAGTTGCACCCAAAAAAAAAAATCAAAGTCAACCAATTGCACCAAAAAAACAAAAACAAAATTCAAACCCCAAGCTAATAGCAATAAAAAAAATAACAAGTAATTGAATTTATAATTATTTTGTGTTATTTGGTTGAATGATGACAATGGTAATAAATTCATACGTCTTATAAATGAGTAAAATTTTATTTATTACTTAAAATTATAAATTTTATTAGATTCATTTGTATTTTTTTTTCCGAGGTATTTGTATATGTGATATTATTTTGGGAAATTTTTTTTATACATTTTTGGGATAGGTCTATTAAAATGAAAGATATGATCAATGATATATTTTTGATTATTTTAAAAGAATTGATATGAATATTTTTGACCCACTTTCTTTTTCAAAATGGATAATTACTTGTAATTTTTTTATGGATTATACAGACCTTCATATACTGACAATGACTAGTATTTTTATAAAATAGTAATATATAGTGTTACTTAAAAAAAAAAGGATAACCGAGTCAAAAAATAAAGTTTTAACTTCGAAAGCTATTAACGTCTCCGCTTCTTTAACTACCGGGTCAAAGATAACTTTTCTTCAATATTTTAAGGAGTCCAAGTATTAATCTTTGGTATGTATTTTCACTTTTTACCCAATGAAATGGCGTTGGTTTCTCTTTATGCTTTGGTTGTAATGATAGAAAAAATAGAAGCTTAACAAATTGGAATAATAAAAAATTTGAGGGATAGATAAATTATCATGTTTGATAAAAAAAAAATTAAATGATGAAAAAAAAATTGATTAACTTTTCTTTTAACTCACCAATATCAATCTCTGTAAAATTTGGAGAAAAAATAGATGAAAATTTAATTATGTGTGTCAAAATATATGCTATTTGTCTAAAAATCTTTTGATATATACGTATATCATATTTATTTATTAACTAGTTATTGTCTGTCTTGAAGACATAAAATAATAAAAAAATTATCAATTATAAATATATTTTTATTCACACTAAAAATCAAATTACAAATATAAAGAAGAGAAAAATTAATTTAAGTATCGGTTGTAGTGAAGGTGAGCGGTTGTAGTCATAAATGACACCTATGATTTGCATAAGCTGGCCATTTATGCATCAGACATTGAGTGTGTTTGTTAACTCAAATTCAGCACTTAAAATAAATATATTCAACACTTATTAATTAAGCTCATTTGATAAACAAAATTTAAACTCTCTTAATTTATTAAGTGCTCTTGAAAAATAGATTACAATATTAAGTAGGAGGTCCCTTACTTAATTCTGAAAACTGAAAACTGAAAGCTGAAAGCACTCAANCTCTCTTAATTTATTAAGTGCTCTTGAAAAATAGATTACAATATTAAGTAGGAGGTCCCTTACTTAATTCTGAAAACTGAAAACTGAAAGCTGAAAGCACTCAACAAAATTATTNTATATATATATATATATATATCTCCCATCTCTTAGATGTTTTAAATACAGTCTCCCAAATACAC